GTATCCAAAATGATAGTGCTCCTGCAATTTTATTAGATCTGCATTCATATATTGTAAAACAACAAAAATTTGATCATGAAACTGTTTCTCAGTTTGGTGATACAGAAATAAGATATGTAGGAATTAATTAACTCTAATAAATTGGTCAAATACATTCATTCTAGATATAAAAAATGACAATCAAATGTTTGAAGACTAAGATGCTGTGGTATTTAGTATGCTTGATGTCTCCTTTCGTTGTAGAGAAGTTGTTTGAAATTGTTTTTGCGACTTGTTCATATTGGCAGGAAGACCTAGAGGAACGAACCTTGTCCGGAGTTCATAGTGCGTAAGTAGCCATAGCTTCTTAAAAAGAGCTGTGATAATACAAAATATTCATCAACATGTTTATGGTACTATTTAATAATTACCCAAATGGCTACCTTATCCAGGCTGGACTGTAGCTTCGACTTCACCTTGTCTTCATCAGCATCCCCAATAGTGTTAGATACCTAGTCGTGAGTACCTTGGCGGTTACCTCTCCACTCCAGAACACGGCCACGGATACCGCTGTCACAGGGCAGACGTAACATTCAAGGCAAACTGGGTCTCTGCCAACTCACATTAATTATGAGATTGCTGATTAAGCAAACGTGCTTCTGCCATTGTACTGGACGAGTATATTTGTTTTGGATATAACTAAGTTTCGAAACTATAAATCGTGTGCATAAAGTAGCGTTACGTTGGTTCTACGCTACAGCCAGTCACTAGGCCTGAATTGACTTCTAAGACAGACCGTGCCTCTTCGGATTCACAACTTTATAGGATGTTTAAGGAATCAGGCTTGCATTGGCCAGTGAATTCAACGACGTTACTAAAACGTATTGAGGATATATTTTGATACTATCAGTTATTATGGAAAAAGACTTTAATTACCCTAGATTGCTTAAGGTAAATTAAGATTAAATGGATATAACTCTTAATACCAATGAATTTCACTGAGAATTGCTTCTCATAACACTGTAAGAAAAACTCTAATATCACCTTTATCGACTGGAAGAGATGAATTACAAGAATCACTTATAGTCTCTAAAAATGCTTACATTAAATATATATATATATATATATATAATTTCTAGTTTGATGGTAAACACCTGTCCTTTTTATCACTAAGATAATCAAAGACTTGTTTTAAAAGTCCTGTGACAAGGGCTAGGTGACCAAATGGCTCTTGGCTTGTCTGAGTGAGCGGTAATTTGGTTTGAGTTGATATGCTCGAAGTGGTTTTCCACCCTTTTTAAGGATCGACGATGAGGCACAACCCAGCAGCAGCCCAGCCTAGATAGGAACGCCCTTTGGGAGGCAGAGTTAGACGAACTTCAAGCAAATAATGAATCCATTTTCTCGTTAAAACTTCAACTATTATAAGGCATTGGGGGGGACTTTCATTTCGTATAAAAGTGCATGAAGAAGAGATTTGTAGGTTGATCTCACCAGAAGAGGACGGCTGAATTCCGTTGTACTGCAGTCGTTTTGATTTTATACGACGTTCAGGTTGTTGCAGTCCACGAGACCCCCTTCCTCGTTTCGGATAAAAACAAGCTAAGCTTTAGTCCGTCATATTATGGATATCATCATAGATAGATCTCATTCCCGTAAAAGTCTCACGTTAACACTAGGACAAGAAGACTATCCGGCTCTATCTTACCTTTTTATAGACTCAATTAAGCATAATAAAATTAAAAGAAAAATTAACAGTGGTATTTCAGGAGACTAATCAAAACCCAGTTTCTCTTTTTATCAAAAGGATTCTCAGAGGACCTGAGTTTGTATCAAATATCTTCTGATAGTTTTGAACGCTGTCTACTTCCATGAGTTGGTCTCATAGATTAACAATGAGATGGTCTCAACAGTTATGAATGTTCGAATATTAACGTGTTTTTTCATAGAAGAGGGCAGCCAACCTATGGATGCTTTTACGTGCATCGTAGAATGACATTTAATGCCAAAATGCGCATACTCATTCAAACTCAGAGTTATTTGATCCTGAAAGAGATTCTAGAACGAGACTATGCTTTATGGTGAAGCAAACAGGATTACTGTGGCCCCTACTTTCTAAAGATCAAAGCTATAATTTAAACAAAATAAAGGTTGCATGGGCCTTATATGTGGCAATAGGGATGGAATGACATCAAATGGTGACATTCATTCAGAGGCATTGATGCAAAACCGATACACCATTACAGCAGCTTAGAATATGAAATAGGTCATTTTAAGGATTCCATGTCGGCTACTAGAAAGAAACGGTTTTATTTGATGCGGAAAAAAGCAAAGGTTTTCGCCATCCATCAACTAGAACATATTTTAGAGAATTGCTTTCAACCGTACCACTTGGAATGAGGGCCTGCAGACAACATTTTGGTGATACCACTAGGCGGTTTTATTATTTTAACTCTCAAAGTCGTGATTTGCGATAAAAATGAGCAAGTATGATTATTTTTTAGGATACTTACAATAGCAATGCTCTTGGGGCCCTGGATTTCGAGGATTGTGTAGGCTGCCAGCATGATGAGAATCACAGTCGTGGGGACCTCGACGAGTAGAAATACACCCAAGACTACAAGCATCATGTTCGAAGTGGAATCGATATCACCAATGCCACCACCGGTGCTTCCTCCTGTATTCCTACCTTCGCTTCCACTCCCACCGCCACTGCCTCCGCTTACGTAGCCTCCGACCTCCACTCCACATGCGTTAGCACAGACGAGCCTGTCCGCAGCCAACGAGTCCTTGCTTCCAGAGCCCGGCATCCAAGACTGGTAGGTTTGGTAAGTTCTGCGCTCAGGTTCTGAGGCAACTGAGCCATCAGATAGTTTAAAAATCAGACTTGTTCGGTGTATAGGACCAACACTGTTGGTGGTCTCCTGCGGTGTTTGTTGCCTCAACAGCAGTCCGCGTCGCAAGGACAACAATGCACGTCGTTTTCTAGCAAACTTATGCAACGCCAGAATCAGTAGGCAGGTAAACACCGTGAGTGTTAGGCAGGGACCAAAATGTACGAAGAGAACACGAAGAATGAGGAAAGTAAAGAAAAAGTGACTCGACATCTCAGTGCATCTAAACACCATCACCTCGTCTAGGCGTAGGGCTGAGCCATTATAGCCGATTGCAGCCGGATTAGAGGCAGCTTCCTGTGGACCGAGGCGACAGCTGCGTAGGCCCCAGACAAACGATGTGTTTATCTCGTTTGGCAGTTGCCATACGATAGCTGCTGTAAAGACGGCAGCTACAGTGAGCGTGACACCGCGCTTCTGGCAGACACAGATCCTGTGAACACGAAGCGGAAAATGGACATAGAAGAAGCGCTGCAAGGCGAGGACAACAGTCAACCAAATGGCTGCCGTGTGGAAGATAGTGGGCAGAATGACTGTCAACAGACTGACCAGGTAGCCGGAGACCACAGTGATATTCTCACGGAACAACTCTGCTGACAGGTATATCGGCAGGGCCAGGCATCCTGTAAAAAGGTCGGCCAGTGAGATGCTGAAGAGGAGAATGTTTGTGGGGCTGCGCATTTCGGGTCGAGTTAATACAACAGCCGTGAGGCAGTTGGTGATCAAGGTAATCAGAATCACCGGTGGCTGTAGCCGCGTCTTCATCAACATGCTGAACGGGTGTTCGTTCAACAGATTATCAATTGGTGAGCACTTGAAGGCCTCGTCATGGGTATCGAAAGAATGATCGACTAGCAGACGAGCCGATTGAGCACCGAATTTCATACCTTGTGTGCTGTTGCTGCAGCCGCTGACTGGACACCCAAGAACGAAGTGATGCTTTTTGTCGACGACGAGACCATTCAGAAAGGCCAATTTAGCAGCTTCATAGATGGCCTGGAAACAAAAATAATGCATGCTAACATCCTGGGGTAACTGGCCAGATATAACCTCATAATATAGCAGTATCACTCAATCTAGCCCACATGAAGTTATAGCAATAATCATCTTGACGAAAAAGGAATAACCGAATTTAGTGATTTGATTTTCCATTTCAAAGGAAAAGTTGATCAGAAGGAAATCTTGAGCTTGTCTTATCGGAAACCTAAGGTGGATGGTCTTGGGGTGAAGATTTTTTAATTATATAAAGAACTCCTCGGCTCCCCGTCCTATTACTCCGATGAACCAGTGCTAAGCTTTCGTCATGTGGCAGAACTCATCAAAACGAGAAACTATAATCTAAAAAATAGTGCACCAATGCACTAAACCAAGAGATATTTGAGTAATTGGGTAAATTTTCAACCGGCTCTCGCCTGGTTTAAAATATTGCTGAGTAATTTCAGGGCTACTTGTCCTGAAGTTGTCAGTTACAGTAGTATAAACGAAAATTTCGCAAGTGTTAATCAGATTCACAGGACTATGGACCAAGGATCTGTTCTCACAATCCAACAATCTTCACCCCAAGACAATCCACACTCGGCTTTGCGGACGACCAACTCACGATATCTTTCTAACTAATTTTTTCTTCGGAAGGGAATGTATATTCACACTAATTGAATAAGAGAGGCTTAGAAACCCTGCTTTTCATCATATATACAGATGACTGAACTTAGTTTGAACAATAAGCAGTTAGAGAGGAAATATTCATTGTCATAGTTTGTTTGAAAATACAATAATTACTGTTATTTGTTACAACGAAGCTAAAGTGAAGGAGATTTTTCAATTTATATTCACAGAAAGTATGGTTCGAAGCAATTAGCAAATCTTAGTTGTGAGTTCTGGACACAAATGGATTTCCCAGTTGCATTTTCGCACAATGGCCTCACATTTATATTGAAATTCATCTTACATATTGCCATTAGAATCCACTAACTTACTTAAATTCATTTGAAGTTGGTTTTAAATTATCCGCAAGTCTTGATTAAAAGTTCCAGTGTGGTCGAAACCTATGTGAGGTTGAAACTATGGTCCACCCTGGATAAGAATAACTTTGGAAAATTGTAGCAAAATAAAGCCTATTTATAGCATTTTGCAA